AAAAAAAAAATTTCTACCAGTGCTTTTTAGCAGCATTTTTTTTTTAAAGGTAGCAAAGTTTTATTAAAGATAGGAAAAGAAACAGGCTCTGTGAAGTGAGTTTAGGTCAAATAAAAGTAGGAAAAGAAGTATATTCTACAGTGTGAGGGTGGGCCACATGGAGATAACAGCACTGTTTTCTCTTGCCTTGAACTATTTGCCTTGGTGTTTGACCATCCTTTTCTGCTTGTACCCATTTTCCAGTCTTGGCCCAACATATTCAGCTTACATTGTTTCCCTCAGTTGGAATGCCTTCTTGGTATTATATCTGCTTATTGACATAATGACACGGTAGAATTTGTGGAATAGTGAAAATTATTTCCACATTGAAAAATGCCAGCAAACCCTGATAGACAAGTGAAAAGTTGGAGAGACAGAGACTATCTTTGAGGAAGGTCAGGGGACCCCGCTGAAATGCAGCCCTAAACTGACTCAGACTCACAGATTTATTGAGGAACAACAAAGGCACAGCGTTCTGCTGAGCACAGGTGTCTGTTTTAGATAGCAAGGCAGGTTAGCAAGGCATGGTAACAGTTTGGCTGAGTAATTAGCTTTTATCTCATTGTCCCCTATGAAGCTTCTTTATTTTCTCTATAAGGCCCATCTCTGCATGAGTTGGCAAAACATCCTGTCTTCAGGACATCTGGCTCCTCAGTTAGCAGTATTCCGCCTCCCAAGTCAACCAAGCAGACATCAACCCATTGGTGCGGCAAGGAACTCCACAGAGAATCTGTGGGAGACAGAAAGCCGCTCTTAAAGTCGTGTGACTCGCAAACTGCAGAACTTTGATGAAGTCTCTTCTCTGAGTCACATTTTCTCAACTGTGAATGAGGGCAAAAGGTTGACTGTGCTGTGGGTATAACTGTTGGAGAAAATTAAGTACTAGAGGATTTCAGAATCTAAGATCTATTACAGTTGGCTGTTATGTAGCTTGGTGTGAACTGAAGCTGGATGGTTGTGAAGCACAAATGAAAGAATTTATGTGAAAAGTTCTGGAAATTTTAAATTAATGCATAAATGTGGCTGCTGTTATAGCAAACAAAATGGAGCATAGGGTGAGAGAAGGAGGGCTGTTGTGGGTGTGGATGGTTTAATTAGTTTGACATTTTAAGGAATGTCTCAGGACTTCTGCTGCCCTGAGTTGGACCTGAAACTTAGATAGTTGTTACTTTTCTGAAGTGGGAGGGTGGTGGATCTGATCTCTTCTCTTTTGTTCCTACAGCTGTATTATCAAGTCCTAAATTTTGGAATGATTGTCTCCTCGGCACTAATGATCTGGAAGGGATTAATGGTAATAACTGGAAGTGAAAGTCCAATTGTAGTGGTGCTCAGGTAACAATTAATTTTTCTTTTCAAGGCATGGAATTGCATTGCATTACTTGGAGGAAAATTGAGATATTGAATAACTAGCACATCAGTCCCTTAGAAACTACTTTTTCTCAGAAGAGGGCCTGGGAGAAAATTAGTTACTACTCAACTGTGAGAAATTCTCAACATGTTAGACATACCCATTCAGAGCCCAAAA